AGTGGCTCGAACCAAGCGCTTGGTTATCCAAATCCATAATAAATTTCATCGAAAAAAAAAATTTGAAAAAAAAAATTTGAAAAAGTGATGAGAATCAGAGATATCATCGCTACTATACAAGTTATACTTTATTAACATACATGTATTATACACACAGTAGTAAACAGTGCAAAACAGACAGTAAACAGGCCTAACGCAGGCATTCAACACCCCGCGTAAACGATTTGTAACCGATCGATGATCGATTACGAAATTACAACCGATTGACAACACTACCAGCAGTCATGCAAACATTCGCTGGATACCCATCGCGCTAGCAGCGCCGGTAACGACGTTGATTACACTGTTACGCAGATACTGCAGTACTCGGAGCAGGACGCGGAGAACATGATCAGTCGGAATAACCTCGAGTGGACGAACAAGATGTTTGTGCAGCGCGGCGAGTGGGAGAAGAAGACGAAGGTGCTCGAGCGTGAGATGCACGAGCTGCACAACACGCACCAGCGGAAGCTGCAGGAGAACGTCGACATGAAGTGAGTTACACTAGTTCGTCTCCGCATTTCAGACCTGCCAATCCTTACGATTTGTTCGTATTCCTTACGAATTCCATGATGTTTCTACGAATGTACGATCAAACTGAAAAACTTTACGATTTTTTACGACTTGGGAAAATTAATGTTTTTTACATTGTGAGCCGAGAAATATCTGGCGATTGTGGGCGCAGCCATATTGGTTCACGCGTTCACGTTGTTCTCGCGTGATCTAGAGTTAGTCCCATCATTCATTGCGCGCATAACATACAAACAAAATGGCCGCCTGCTGCAAGAAAAGATAAGCCTTACTATTTTCATGGATCACAGGTTGGCAGGTCTGTCATTTGTTCGTCCCCTCAGTTGTTCGTCCAATCGGTTGTTTATAATTTTATTTATTGACTAAAGAGATGGCTGGTGTTTTCTGTGTATAAACAATAATCTCTTGTTTGTTGAGCTGTTTCTAAAACGTGTGGTGTCTTGTTTTTGTTACAGGGGCGTTGTGTCAGAGTACGAGACAACAATATCCCAATTGATCGGTTAGTATTGTCTTTAATAATCTCATGTAAACGTTGACCCGACAGTTGTAAATGCTCTAGCTATGATTTAATTGGTAGTGTGTATTTGATTGCCGAAGCGTAAGTTTCTTAATTGACCATAAAAATATAATGTTACCTTGCACCATAAGTGCAAAAAGGTTCCTCGCAATAATTTAGACATCGGATATCGGATTACATGTTTTGCGGCGTTAATACTTTATCGTGATATTTCCGACTGTCGGTTACCATGGTGATGCGTTCCGGATCGGTTGGTTTTGGGGGATGCTAGTGAGAGCTCGTGGTGAACATCTGTCCTGTGGTGTTCTCCAGCGGAAAAGGAACACAACAAATGCGAGGCTACGGAGAACAACTCTGAGCTGGTGGCAGAGAGAGACCAGGTGCTTGAGGACATGCAGAATGTCGAGAAGGCCTTCAGTGACCTTCACCGGCGATATGAGAAGGCCAAGGGCGTTGTGGAAGCCTTGAGAAAGGTAAGGTAGCAAGCGGGAAGCAAGAGTTAGCAGGTAGTTTAATTTCTTAAGCTACTATAGCAGCATACTATAGCAGATTGCTATACCTATAGCAGCCTGCTATAGCCGGCCGTTTAATTACTTAAGCATGTTAAGCCACTATAGCAGCTTGCTATAGCCGGTAGTTTAATTACTTAAGCATGTTAAGCCACTATAGCAGCTTGCTATAGCCGGTAGTTTAATTACTTAAGCATGTTAAGCCACTATAGCAGCTTGCTATAGCCGGTAGTTTAATAACTTAAGCATGTTAAGCCACTATAGCAGCTTGCTATAGCCGGTAGTTTAATTACTTAAGCATGTTAAACTACTATAGCAGCTTGCTATAGCCGGTAGTTTAATTACTTAAGCATGTTAAACTACTATAGCGGCTGACTATAGCAGGTAGTTTAATTACTGTCAGGGTTACGGACAGGTACCCCTGTAAAGGGCATTGCAACATGATTGCTCATCAAATCCAATCAAACTCATACTATTTAATAAAAGAGTTGTCTCTCTACGCTCTCGATGATAATGATAAAAAAACATTGCTATTTACGTGATGGCAAAAATTGTGAATTTATATATATACAGGGATGAGAATCTTCCGCGGTTCCGCGGAAATCCGCGGATTTCACAGTCCCAGGGTCGATTTTGTGAAACGTCTAAATCCGTTGAGAGAAAATTTT